GAACCAGAGCCGGAGCCGTGGCCAGAGACGGAGCCAGAAGCAGAAGCAGAGCCAGAACCGCCGACAGTGCCCGAGCCAGAGCCGTGACCAGAGACGGAGCCAGAGGCAGAAGCAGAGCCGGAGCCGCCAACGGTGCCAGAGCCGGAGCCATGGCCACCGGTGACATCGGTAGGGCTGACACCGCTAGGACCGGTGCCCGAAGGAGAAGGAGAGCCAGAGCCACCGACAGGAGAAGCGCCAGTGGGGGTGGCGGGAGCGGTGGAGGCAGCGACGGGGGCAGTGGATGGGCTGGAGATGAGCTTCGTGGTCGAACCGGAGCCGGGGGTGATGGTGGGGGCACCCGGAATGCTGCAGCCGGTGAGCCATTCGATGATGAGGAGGTTGAAGCTGCTGCTGATCTCGATGTCAACAGCACCACCGAGGACGGCGGCCAACTCGGCACGGGCCTCAACGGAAAGGTAGACGATGCTCTCGCCGGAAAGGAGGAGCCAGAGGGTACCACGAAGGCTGGATCCGAGGGATGCCTCAATAGTGCCGGTAAGGAAGGCCTCGAGCTCAGTGATAAGGCTGGTGGAGATGTCAATGCTGACTTCAGTGACAGAGAAAGAGAGCCAGAGGTAGAGAGCGGCCTTGAGTTCGGCTCCCAGGCTGCAGCTGGAACCGGACAACCAGACGGCCAGGGCCGCACGGGCATCGGCGGAAACGGAGGTGGCGAGCTTGCCGGCAATACAGGCCTCGAGGACGGCCTGAACATCGGCCTCAATGTCAGCAGAAACACTGGACTCAAGGAAGGCAGAGATGTAAGCTTGGGCAGTCGCGGTAAGAGCACCCTCGCCTTCAATCCAGGCGCTGATGGAAGCACCAACGGAGACGGCAGTAACACCGCCAGTGGGAATGGAACCGATGGCAACGACACCAGTCTCAATCTTGCCCTCCAACCAGGCCAGGATGGCAACCTTGAGCTCGGCACTCAAGGAGCAAGACGAGCCATTGAGCCAGACCTTCAAGGCGGCGGCGAGATCGGCGTGGAGATCAGCATGAACACCACCACCCGCGCAAAGAGAAAGACCAGCGCGGAGGTTGGCATCCAGCTCAAGACCGACGGAGCCGGAGATGAACGCGGACAGCGAAGACTGGAAGGAAGAGCTGAGAACCACGCCGGCCTCAAGGGTGGTGACATCAAAGATACCGTCAATGGTCACGTAAAGGTCACCGGCGGCAGCCGTCTTGGCGCAAGTAGGAACGAACAAGGACAGCCCGGCGCACACTTCGGTCGAGAGAGTTGCTGAAGCCTCACCCTCACACCAGGCGAGGAGCTCGGTCTTCAGAGAAGCCTCGAATCCAGCATGAGCGCGGATCCAGGCGGCCAATTCGGCACGGATGTCGGCATCAATCGCACCGGCCTTGCAACCCAAGGCACCTCCGTTGAGGGCAGCGGCAGCCCGGGCACTGATACCAGCAAGGACGGATGTTGAGCTTTTTCCACCGCCGAGGATATCTTCAACGATGGTCGTCAGGTCCTTGCCGAATTCGGACAGGATCTCAACGGCGAGACCAAGAGTGCGGGGGTCTAGATCCTTGGTGTCCTTGGTGGGAAGAGCGAGGACATAGTTCGCCAGACCGGCGAGGAGAAGAAGCTTGCTGGAACGCATGATGCCAACGAAGCGAAGGGGTATCAGGAAAAGGTCGATAAGGTAATAGCGAATGTCGATCACGAGTCAATCGGGATGGAACGATATAAAACAATAAGAAAGAAGGAAAGAACTGATGACTATGGCCGGCACTAGGGCAGCCTGGTCAGGTTAACGACAGACAGGTGTAAATGATAGACAGGGAAAAAAACAAAATGAAAGACAGAACCCCAAACGACAAGCGAAAGGAAGTGACTGACAAAGGGCTTGATGTCCGTTCAAACGAGGTGATCATCATCGAGGTATATATACCCCTGGGGACGGGGGACACTTTCCCGTGCCTGCTGGGCCGGGGGCCGATGGAAACCTGCACAAACCCCCAGTCTGGAACCAACGAATGGAGCAGTGCAGCTTGCTAGAGCATGTTGGTCCATCTGTGATCGAGGGACCCGGATCTTCGAGACCAGGTTAGCCAGGTGGAGCAGCCGGGTGCCAGTGGAAGACTAGAGAAGCGAACCAGACCCGACTACCGTTGAATGTGGGCTCATCCGAAACAGACTAAACAAAAAGAAAATACTATTTCAGGCAACGGGGGATTGCTAACTAGGAAAGCATTAGTTCCGACTTTGTGCGGGTCACAGATGGGCCTTCCCGTCCGTGTTATTTTTTTTCTCTAGCCCACGCAGTGGACGCCGTAAGCAGGGGGAGAAGAAGGCTAGGCCAGTAGGCCAGTAGGCTAGCAGTAGGCCAGTAAGCCACAGCACCCCAAGCCAGCCACCATCTCGGAGGGTGGGCGGACAACGGAGAGTTGGAGGAGGCACCGTTGTCAGGGCAAAAGCCCCTCATTAAAGACGCTAATGTCTGAAGATAGGGCACCGAGCAAAAACGGTGAGCAATTTGGAATCCAGCAGCTCGTGGACATGTCGGAACGGGATTGACTGAGAGGAGGGAGACCATCAGCCGTAAACCGTAATGTCAGCATCCCCGATCGACTACTTAGCCTCGCAGACATCAGCATCGTCGGCTCGAGAAATCATCATCGGCACAGATTTGTGGGGAAATGAGCGACCGACAGCCAACCCACACGGGATGCAGTATTGAGAGTCTGGAACTCTGGATGAGTGTTGGATCATCACAAGCCATGCAGGAGCATGCATCACGATGGACAATGACGACAAGGCGACAAGCATAGACCGTAGTAGGATAATAGACTAGCAGGCTAGCAGGTCGTGTATGGGAGAAGCGGAACCAGACAGGCTTGAATGGAAGGCGACCATGGACGCGACCCATGGACGATCATCTCAACCGGTGTTTTGTGAGTTTTGTCCCTGAGAGTTTTTAGTTTCCACGGAAAAGGGCAAAACATGAAACTCCCCCATCAAGCCCAGCTCCTCTCCACTTTGGGGAGGGCTTTTCTGAAAGTCAAGAGTTCGGACATAAGAAAAGAGGCGCAGGAGTCAAGAAACCTAAGAGTAAGTCTACTGCATCAAAAAAATGGGAGGGGTCGGAGGAGGGAGATGAATAAGCAATCGCCCCATCCACACGATTTTGTGACAGATGCAAGTTGACTGGTCAGACTTTTTGTCCGGAGACTTGCAGAATTTCACGTCCAACGGAGAAAAAAATAAGCAAAAGAAAATTGAAAGAGGAAATGAGTAGCAGTAAGTGAAAAAGAAAAACAAGAAATACAAATTGGAATATCAAGCAAACATGCACCTACTCCGTACATAGTAACACACAGGCATCCATTGGGTGGCAATGGGACCACTCAACCCAAACAAACACAAGTATAGATCTTATCTCTATTGACTGTACATACTGGTACTCGACTTCATGCTCTGGATACTCAGCTCAGAGCTCAATTTGCATCTTCCGACTTGGCGGCTCAGTATGTGGTCGGTGTCAATAAGGGTCTTCCTCTGTACGCCCCAAATATAGTACCTCAATTTCCCTCAGGTTGGCGGAAGGACTGCCGTTACCACTACAGAGGTTCAAACAAGCCGGCTGTGGCTTGCTACTGAATAGCGTGGTGGACAGCTAGGCAATCACCTCCTGTCGAGGAGGAGGCGTTCGTAGCAATTTAGTACAGGTGTACGACCTGCCCCGTAGCAGACCAAAAAGGTACTCCAACAGAATCATGACGCCTCTGTAATGTAATGTGTGTGCATAGTCAACCAGAGTGTTGTCATTGGTATGGAGGAGGTAATTGTGGAGGCATTGGAAGGTGCAGCATTAGCGTGTTAGTCGGTGCTCTAGCGTCGGGTTCCTAGTCAGGGACAGAAAGCTGAGGATGCATAGTCAAACTAGGGCCGTCGTTAGCGTGCACGAACAAACACAAGCTTGGATGCAGCAACAAGAGCTGAAATGCAATCAAACAATTCCATCCATCGAAAGCCATGCATCTGCGTGAGACCTGAACCGTAGAACACTGCGGGCTAGATTTTCGATGATCAAGATGGGTGTGTTGTCGATGCTAGCCAGGAAGCCGGGGGTAATCTTTGCCCGAACAGGCGTTCCTGACCCAAAGTGCTTATACCCTTGGTTACGTTCTTTTGGGGGCTCCAGTCCCCACCTCGACTTCGTTTCCCCCCAATGGCCTGAGCTGCCGGCTGCCCGCTTTACCCGATCCCTAGTTGAAGCACAAGTCCGGAGAGAATTGCAGACTGGATGCCCCTCTCCCCTCTTGCTCCCCACCTTTCGCTCCCCCTGTGACCTGTGACCATCATAGTCAAAGGGTCAAGGCGCATCTCAAATCTTAACAGCCATTGTGCAAGCTCTGGAACAAAATAGTTGACTCGGAAGTGTGGTGCAGTGCTGGACTATAGGAACTTTAATTGGGGCAGCAAGAGTCATGTGTTTTGCGGAAGTGTAGGTTTAAGACTTTGACTTGACCCGGTTTTGAGCGAACCTCGGAGGTTTGCCTGATTTGAATCATTATTGACTGACCAGACCAGATCCGACCGGGTTACCCCTGGAGAACAAACCTGCAACTGAAAATTGAGCCAATCCAAAATGGAATAGGCGACCAGAAGCTGAAGGCGCGATGGTACACTGTTGCTAATAGTAATAGTAGGTAGAAGTCGGGGCAGTTTGGACGAGACTATGGAATCGGTTGTGGTCCGTGAGAACGGAGAGATTCCGACAGAGAGGGAGATGCGGATATCAGGTGATCTGCCTGCTTGCCTTCTTGCTTCTACCGGTGCGCTCTTGATTTTTGCTTTTCTCCTGTTCGGAAGAGAGCCACCTTCACGTCGCCATGTTTCATGCTGGGACTAGTCTCGTCGTACTACCAGTCTACTCGTACCACTGAGTCACTGACTCTGGCCTGTTATTCTTAGCCTTGCCTCTCCACGGTTCATCGATCATTCTCAAAAAACCGATCTAAGACTATTTGCCCTGGCAGTCCCAAACTCTAAAGTGCAGCCAGCGGCCAGCCTATGTCAAAAGCCACGAGACTGTCGTGGCGGCTTTCTACGGAGTACTGTTATCCAGATAGGGGCTATCAGTCCGAGCAGGACAGAATCGTTGCTGCTGCCGTTGCTCGTGAAGATGAATGTCCATTAAGCCACATCCCATGCTGATTACTTGACATCTACAGTATACTAATGGACGTTCTCGCAGCCTGAGTCTTGCTTCAGCAGATCAGCAGAGTGTGGGTCTCCCTTCCGAGATTTGACCGGATCGAAATCGCAAAACAAGAGATAGGGCAGGTGTGTATCGGTGGATATCCTATCCACTTCAGCAATCCAGGACGGGACTGCGTCGTCTGCTCTAAGGCGGAAGGTCGGTAGGTCACACGTCACATCTCCATGCTCGATACTGGCAGGTGTGCCAAATGTGGCTAGGTGCAGGAGAATTTGCGGCTTGTTCTCCAGGCAAGAAGCTATGACCATTCAACTTGCAGTGACGATCAGGATGTCGTGCCTCAGAACGACACTACCTAGCAGGTCACTTGGTCTGCCTCTGCTAATTATATCACGGAAGGAGCTTTGCGCGGCGGCTTTGCTGAAACGCGTCGGGCTGACGTTGACAACTTGGCTAGTCAGATATTCTTGGAAAGCCTCTTTTGGCAGGTGAAACAAGGAGAAGGAGGATGCACAGCTTCGCACTCAAGGAAGAGGGAGGCCTAGATATCCAGGTATCCTGAAGCGGCGTCTGACCTGTTGCAGTTTCGACAAGACAAGTATCTTCTCAGTGTCTGGTCTGTCTCTTGTTGTCTCTTCATGGCACCCTTTGACCGCCAACCGTTGGAGATTGAGAGGACACGACTTGTGATCTGGGTGGGTTCACACCCACAGACTGCTGAGGAGGTTGGTAGTAGCCATGGCCGGTGTACCATAGCTCTCTTGCAACTTTTTCGTAGTAATCGTGACAAGCTGCCCATTACATCAAATCTGAGATGTGAGAGTGAGAATGAACGGCTATTCTCAAATCCAGGCTTGCACGGAGAAGTCGAGTCCCGTGTGCAATAAATGTGGAAAACTGGTCTTGGTTGCAGTAATCATTTGTTTGATGCAAATGCTGTAGTATGCATATACAAATTTTGAAGCAAGGTCGATTTTTTCTAATTGCACCCTGGCCCCCAAAGATCAAGTTCATGGCCAAAGAGCCTAGTAAGTAGCTAGGCATCTTCTATTGAAATTGCACACATGTGAGGATGATAATTAAGACTGTCCAGACATCGAAATTTTCTGCAGATATATATAGTGCTTGCAGAAGTGTCATCTCCACATCCACAAGTCCAAGTATGAGCGAAGATCTCGGGTATGCAGATGTAATTGAACAAGCATATAAGGATATTAAACCGCTATGGTTATTGGTTTACAGTAGGAATGACACAATGCCCAGACACTTGATGATGCGGTGTGCAGCAGGGCCAGTGCATGGCCGGTGATGCTGATTTGCGGGCATTTAATATGTAATCATTCAGCGCGTTTATATATGTAGCTAAAAGTGCAGGACGTACTTCGCTCCTCCGACTCCATTTGCATTACCACGAGATCGAAAGGAGGTTTGATGCAATTTACCGTACTACAGATGCAGGCTGTATCGATGCTGCCACCAAATTGCATCGAAATTGTTTTATTGATGCAGTGTATTGTAGTGTGTGTGTACCGTGCAGAACGCAGACTGCAGCGGCAGCCGATTGTTGTTTGGGGGCGCGATTGCCCGGGGCAACGGGTAAACCCCACGTGACTTGGGTCTCCCAGCCTCGCGCATTACGGCGCAAGTTCCATGTTTCCAATGTTTCCATGCCAAAAACGACGACAAAACACCAAAACTACCCCGACCTCCGACCTCGACATACTAACCCCTCACAGCAGGCACTTGGATCGTGCTTCTGGGAGGAGCCTAGGCCCGGACACTCTCTGGTGGACATGTCTTTGCGACTTTGTCCCCAATTGTCATGATGGCCTCTCCTCATTCCTCCTCAACAGCAGCAGCAGCAGCGTACAACACCCGGCTGCAGCGCCAACCTTCCTCCCGTTCAATGTCCCGCGCCGCGTCTCGCTCAGGATCCAGACGGACCTCACCAGAAGTGCGCAACTCACTCGCCTACCGTCACAGTGTATCCGCTGGGCAGTATGCCGCCGGCGACAGCTCGGATGAGGAGGTTCCCGAACCCAAGTTCAGCGCGTCCGTCAAGGCCTTACTCGACGAAGACGGACTCGACCTGTCGCCGCGCTTACGCAACAAAAACCTGGGCTCGGCAGGTACAAGCCAAGAGAGGCGCTCGCGCACCACCTCGCCCCTTGAGCAGTCGAATGGAAGCCCCGCGCCCCGGGTGGTTCGGATCGCTCCCTCGCTCAGCGGCCGGAGAGAAAGCTCGCCGTTAACACAGACCGAAAACGCCGAACATAGTGAACGAAACCACGTACAGAATGATTTCATTACGCCCGCACCGCGCACACGGAGCGTCCGTATCAATGCATCGCGCAGCAACACCCGGTCGCCTGCATCCCTGTCGCCGTCCCAGAGGCGATCGGCCGAAAGGAGCTACATCGACGACCAGGAGCATGGGAGCGCGACACGCTCAGGGGAGAAAAGCTACGACGATGACTATGCTCCGCGGCTGGGTACCGCATCCGTGCTCCGCACGCGAAACATTGAAGATATGGGCATGCACAGCTCACTGCGCGTCAAACGGGTCGGCCGACTGACCGGTACTTTCCTCAATGGGCCTGCGCGGAGAGGGGTATTACGACGCCAGAGTGAAGAAAACGAGATCCGAGAGACCGATTATGATGAAAATAACGATAACGACCACTACCACTACAAGAATACAGCGAAATCCTCCTCCCCCAAAGTCTCGTGGGCCGACCCGAGCCCGCCGACGAGAAGCGAGGAACGCCGTGACCGACACCGCGACCGGGATGTCATTGGCGACGGCTTATTTTCCAGATCGTCTTCTCCGAAGTCGTATGGCTCCCACTCCAAGTCCACCCCTGGCTCTTCGTCGGAAATATCATCGAAACCGTCGAGCGCCAAGGACCAGCCGGCATTCAAAGTACCTCCCCCGCCAACGTTACCTTCGAATCGTGACCAGGAGAATGAGCCACCACCGACCTTCAAGCGGGTCAAACCGCAAGGTTTCAACCTGCTTGACAAACCTGTGGTCTACGAGGAAGAAAAGAAGGAGAAGGAGAAGGAGACGCCCGCAGACCGGAAAATCCTAGCCACGCGAAGCAACAATACCCCTCATCGACCAGCTCCGCCTCCCCCCAAAATGTCTGTTCTGGAAACTGCCACAGCTACCGGTGGAGCAGCTACAGCATCTCAGTCTCGCAAGAAGCGCAATCAAGTTTCAGTGAACCACAAGCCTTTCACACGGCTAGATTGCGTTGGCCGTGGAGGAAGCTCTCGTGTCTATCGTGTGATGGCTGAGAATTACAAGATCTTTGCCCTGAAGCGCGTTAATCTCGAAGACGTCGACCCCGTGACTTTGGCCGGTTACAAAGGCGAGATCGATCTGCTCAAGAAGCTTGAGAACCTGGACCGCGTCGTGCGTCTCTTTGACTGGGAGTTGAATCAGGATAAGCACACTTTGAGTGTACTGATGGAAATCGGTGAATCCGACCTTGAAAAAGTGCTTACTTATCGACTGAACGCGGAGGATGCACGATTCGATATCAATTTCACCCGTTACTACTGGAAGGAGATGCTCGAATGCGTGCAAGCAGTACATGACTACAATGTCGTGCACTCCGATCTGAAGCCTGCAAATTTCCTGCTTGTTCAGGGCCGACTGAAGCTCATCGACTTTGGTATCGCAAATGCAATCCAGGACAACACCGTCAACGTGCATCGCGAGCAGCAAGTGGGAACGCCGAACTACATGTCCCCCGAGGCTCTGATTGACTCCAACGCCTCCCTCGGCTTGCCGGCAAGCGTGGGGAAGATGATGAAGCTGGGTAAACCCAGCGACGTCTGGAGTCTCGGATGTATCTTGTACAAGATGGTCTACGGCCAGCCCCCGTTCGCCAAGATCGCCAAATACTACGAACGTATCCTGGCCATCCCGAACCCCAACGTGAAGATCGACTTCCCCGGCTTCGCGATCGGAGGCGTCCCCGTACCCCCCGGTCTGGTTCGTACCTTGAAACGATGCCTTCAAAGAGACCAGACCCTCCGGCCCACTGTCGAAGAGCTCCTCAGCCAGCGCGACCCCTTCCTATACCCCGACGCGCAGCTCGAGGCCGCAGTCCCCGTCACGCAAGATATGCTCAACCGGATCCTGGTCAATGTGGTCAACCACTGCCGTGTCCGTGGCATCCCGAAGGACGAGGAGCTTGCCGCCTGGCCGGCCGGTTTCTTTGCCAAGATCAAATCAGCCCTAGAAGAGGGTCCCTAGACTAACCCACACCCGATTGATCGTGCCCAGTGGTTCCCTGTCATACTCTCTGTGTCTCTGCATACATACCCTCTCACATAATTCCCTATGTCCTCTGATTGAAAGCCCCCGCACTTGTTTGGTATATTACCCATTATCTTGATATCCTGATTGAACCCGGCGTTGTCTAGTCCACCATCACCACAGATTGGGATGACGGTTGCGACCTTTTTCTTCTTTCTATCCTCCATCTCCCTTCTCTTCTCTTCTTGTTTCCCCTTATCCCATTCTTGGACCAACCCTTTCTTCTCGTTTCCTTCTTCTTACCCTTTGCCCCCACGCTTATTTTGGATAGCAACCAAGCACTGGGACGGCTTCCAGGGGTGATTTTATTATTGTGTGTGTCTGTCGCGCTTTAGCCCTGTTTGATCGTTTCTTATATCTGGTTGGGGTTACCATTGGAAAGCTCCAGCAGCAAGAGAGCATGGTGTATTCGGAGTTGTTTGTACTAGGTTTACAAAGATCTTTCTCTTCGTCTTCAATAATCTGGAATAGTATGGTTTCCCTTCGTTAATATTTTACGAGCTCAAGACACTTGTTTGAATTCTCTCTTCGATGGGTGCATTGCATTGTGTTGTATGTTCTAGATACAAGTTGAGAAATGTGTTGGTGTTCATAGAGGTGGTGCAAGAACTGGTAGGAGAGGGAGTGTGATTGCGATCAGCTTGTATGGGTTTCTTGATTATTCTCTTGATCCAGACACCCCATAGCAACGAGGTCGACGAGCGACCTGTCAACCTGTTTCAGAGGACCATAAACTGTTACTGAGGTACTGTACTACTTGTAAACCGCATTTCCCTGCAGCTCTTAAGTCTCCGAGATGACTTTCGAAACGATTGATTGAGTATCAATTCATCAACTGGAGGATAAATTCGTTTTGTGTATCTAGCTAACTACTATGTATGTATGTTGAGGTACGATTCAAATAACGGGAATCTCTTTTCAGACAAGATCGATCAAAAGAAACGAGCAAGCACACTTTGCGCGCCACTAACGCCACACACACCCCAATGAGAAAATCCACTTCACTTGAAGCACAAACGCAACGAGACGGTACGATGGAAAAAGCACAAACCGACGCAGGTTATAGGAAAGACGGGGAAAGAGCCGTTGTTGTCATGAGCGTTGACATGGGAGGGTGAGAACGGGGTTTTAATTTAGTTGAGGAGGACGGCGCTGTGAGGGATGGTTAGGATACGAGGGTTATGAGAGGTCGAGAAGGCAGGGAACTTACTTGACAGTACCGTCGAGATCGGGGTTGTTGGTGACCTGGGCATATTTACCCCAAACGACCTGCTTGCTGTTAGTTTTGGTCCCCGCATGCATAGAAAAGGAGGGGTGTGGTAGCTTGCCTTTCCGGAGGTGGTGACGAGGCCCAGCTCGGAGACGTTGACTTCGAGCACGGTACCCTTGGTCAAGACACCCAGCTGAGTGTAGAGAGGGTTCTGGGGGTTCTTCTTGACGGACAGGATGGGGAGTTGGACGGTGACACCGAGCTCGGGGCTGAGAAGATTGAAGATAATAGCGTTAGTATTTAGCGGAAGGTGTGCTTGACAAATCCCCGATCGGTTCTAAGTGGCGTTCGAGAATCG